CAAGCTGATGTGGGCTTAATAGGTGGCTGGGCTTATTAGCCGTGGGCTTAATAGCCGGCGACTATTGTATTACAATTACCTAGAGGACTTCTTAATGCGAGGTATTCTCGGCTTCAAACCAAATGTTTTAATAACACGATCAGCAGAATCTCGTGCACTGTAGATGAAAACTTGGAAGATGAACGCTTTGCAAATCACTTCGGCTAATTAACTAACTGTAGGCCAAAGTGTTTTACATCGAGTAAGTAGCCCATCAGGCTACCCAGAATCGGGATGGAGAAATGCTTGACTGAGGTTTCACAGGACACCAAGATCCACCCAATCTTGTTTCCGTTTGTGGGAGTTGCCCACCGCAACACCAGACTGCACTGCAAATGCGCTGGGCTTAAACGTCACAGGTTTGTCGGGCTAGACCGAGTCCCAGCAAGCACATGACTGTTTAAGTACAGTAGATTTGATGACTCACGAAACGCGAATTCTGAAATGCGATGTCGTGTGAGCAAGATTACTTACAGTGGACAACTAAATTCATGCAAAGTCATAATCTATCTTGATCATTAGGCGTAACAATATATGACCTCAGAAGAAGACGATTCGATCGCTGCAACAATACTTTTATTCGCCAGACGTTCCGAGGTCCGTCGCGAATTCATCATTAGAGACAAATACGCGACGGATTCGACCAGAATATAAATTTATCGCCGAGGGCTTGAAAACATTAAAAATGCTCGAAATTTTGAGGGAATTTAAAAGAAGATGAGGAAAAACTGTTATCCAATACCTGAAATATGGTCAACCAAAGTTAAATAAAGAACAGTTTGTTGCTATAAAGAAAATTTTATGGTAATGATTTCTCCTGACGATGTAATTTATATTCATTGCTCTGATTTATAGTAATTTTGCACTTTTACCGAAATTCAAAATTCTTAAAAAATAGTTTTTTTAAACAACACATTACGATTTTTAAATTATTTTAAGTTACGAATTTTCCAAACATTTTTTTATCATTGCATTAAAGTCTTAGTACATGCTTTAATGCCGTTTTTTGAGTGATTATCCGTTTTAGTAACGTTTGGCCCATTGCATGAAATCCAGCTGACACTGTGGTGTTGCAATGTTATTAATTGTGTAGAAAAGGTAAGCTCAGGAGCATAAACTGCACAATTCTCGTCCAGATGGTTGATTTTGGACATCGCGTTAACCCCAAAGAAGCCCTCGAGGTCATTTATAAGGTCCTACCAAACTATCCATAGTTCCCGGGCCAGCGCTTGCTAGCAACAACACAATCGACTACAATTCGATGGAAGAAGGCAATATTTTATGCACAAAAGAAACTCCTGCATGCTAAACGCCTGCCATGGTCAACGCTCGCTTAGCTGCTTATACTCATCCGCGCTCTATTGGTCTCCCTCCCCTCCGCCCATGTTCCTACCCCCTCCCCTAGACTGTCTTCGCCAAATTCTCCCCGAGTAACCATCCCTCTCTTATCGACCCGTTTCTCTCGATTCTCACGACCGGCTTGTAAGAGAAGACGAATATTATTGAGCGCTTGTTTAATTTGTACCCCGTTCCCATGTAAATGTGATGGTCCAATGGAAATTTATCGAAGGCCTACGCATGCTTTGTAACGGACCATACGAAACTGGCTAAGGTTTTTTGTTTTAACGGTTGCTCTCCCGGTTTCTTACATTTTGAAAACCAAATTTTGAGCACTAACTTATACCGTGGCTGACATTCCCGCCCGACGGATTTTTTTCATTGGTATTCATGTATGTATTCATTTCCTTTATTATCAAACCATTTCCAAATGAACCTTCTATACGTTTCTATCACTATTTTTCTACTCAGGTACCGAAACTCTTCCCATATTTACATGGCATACTTTCCTTACTATCTTCGACATTTCTCCGTTTTCCACTCACTTACTAATCCCTCAGATTTCGGAGATGTCTGGAAGGGCAGATGACTTGCATGATGCGATCAATCGTATTCTAGAGGAGAATTAATAGGCCTCAACCTTTACATATCATATATCAGTCACCTCATGTATCAGCCTTACGCTGCCGCAAAGGTCATCCGCGCATTAGGGCATTACAACTTGCCAACTAGCCTTCTGAATTACCTGATGGGAAAGTTTGCAACTTTGCATATATTTCAGTCAAACACGGATTGCAGTTTTCGAAAGCACCTCTTTCCGACTGCCTGGCAAAACTGATTTCCATAAAATAGGACTGCGTGGTTCATATGAAAGTTTCACATTTATTTTGCATGCCCTTGTATATACAAATATCTTGGATAGATAAGATGCATGAAGCATATATTTCCCGTAATTATTTACTAGCAAATTACGTGAAAGGCTCATGTATAAAACATCGAAGCTATTCATTAATTAATGCTGTTTCTGAATTATTCAGCATCGCCCAAATCAAATGAAACAAATGGTATGAACCCTATATGTTATCTTTGTAATAGTGTATAGCAATGTATGATTTTTTCGCAAATGTATACAACTTGGAGTTTGGGAACCTCCAATGCAAGTGTAACAGCAGATAGTTTTGAACAGTATTTTTGAATTAAAAAGATTATACGGTGTTAAAGTCTAATGTACAATTTGAATATAATGTAACTGGCCGCCAAATAATATTTTTTGTGCATGTATTCCTTGAAATATATTTGAATTTATACGGGCACCAGA